GATGGCCTCCACCCTAAGAGCGATGGCCTCCATCCTAAGAGCGATGGGCCTGAACATTTCGCCTGCAGGCTGCAGCCTTTTGTAAACTCGAAGTAGCTACTCTGGACAGTGCGGAGCAATGAGCAAAAGACGCATTGAGGTGGACATTGTGAGTGATATTGCCTGACCTTGGTGCTACGTTGGGGATACAAGACTGGAGGCTGCTGTAGAACAGGTGCAGAAGGAGGGAGTGAATGTCACCGTGAGGCTGGCGCCTCTTGCGCTTGTGTGTGCTTGCACTTCTTCTTTTGCATCAGTTCTATGTGGGCCATTTTGCACATCCAGAGCCTACAAGCTTGATCAAAATTGGCAGCAGCTGATGTAGGCTAACAGAGTGGCTAACAGAGTTCCTTGTAAACATTGCGTGACCATCCTTAGGTCCTTGTGTGTCTCGTATGGAGTCCATTGATTTGGACAACTACCCAGTTTCCACGTGTTCAAGCCTTTGCAACCATGCTGGAGGTATCATCCCTTCATGATCGACCCCCGCACCAAGGAGAGTGGGGAAGACAAACAAGAGTACTGCAGGCAGACTGGCCTTCAGATCTTGTCGTATTTGTACCAACGATTTGTCAAAGATGTCAGTCTTGTAGTACTCATCTCATGTTGTGCCTTTCTCACCCCCTAGCCCAGCTAGAAAGATAGCTGCTTGTTAGCAAGGGGTGAGAGAGATTTTGTTCCGCCGTACAGGTATATAATTTGTATATTATGTACCATGTAATGTCATGTACATTAGTATAACTAAACGAATGCATATCATGCTTTTCTTGTTTCAGGAATCATGCTCATCTCTGTTTCTATCACGGAGGGATCGGGATGAAGCCATCGGATGAATTGTCCAGGCGTCGTGGCTGGGGTGGCGGATGGAAGCCAGGCCCCCTGAAGCAATGGAAGTGGTGGCCGAACACAGAGACACTGGCATGCACAAGTGCAATGCTGGGAAGACCATAAATCAATATAAATCATGCATGCTGGCTTATATAGACGAAAGCATGAAAGCATACTATACACGATGAACATGATTGCAATCCTTCTAGTAGCAGGCCCGGCTCAGAGCGAACTCGGCATCAGGAATGCACATCGACTCTGCGTGTACCTTGAGGAGTTGGACGCCAAAATCACTTCGTTGAGCCAAAGCGAAAAGGATGAAAGGGCCCATTCATTGATGAGCCTCTCAGCTGCGAGCACTCCATGAGGCTTGCAATTGACAATTAACACGGCAATGTGTGTGTGTGCTAGGAAAGTTTTACGAGCTCACCTATGACCGGGACTGCAACATCTCGACCCCTGAAGGTGCAGCCCAGGACTTTGTGGGGAAATAACATATGGTTTTGAAAAAGATACATGTTTCAGCGGCGTAATTACGTATTCCGAAATCTTCTGGGGATTCTTTGTTCGCTTCCACCTTCTAGGCCATTGAGGAGCTCGGGTATGGATCAGCAAAGGAGGCTGTGGAATGGCTAAAGAAGGGTGGAGGTGTTCGCGAGGTGAACGCACCTCAGCACAAATGGCTGATGTTGCATGGGAATCATGGGATATGGATTTTTCTTGGACTCCACTATCCCCGTTTTGTAATCGCAAACTCCTCAAACTGTCCGACTCTTCATTCAGGAAGATCTGCGGCGGGCCCACTATGACAACATTCACGCAGTGCCACACTATAGCATCTAGCCTGCAATGCGTGTGGGTGGCACTCAGTCGCGGAAACCAACGAAGACAAGATTTACAACGAACAGTAAGCTTGAGCCAGGAATCCGGATGACGAAACCAAGGTATCAAATGTGATGGGCAGGCAGGAGCCGTACCAAGTGTCAGCGGAGCCCAAGACAGCAGGTGGTTCTACCAAGCCTTCCAGGCACCAATTCGTCCTTTTTTAATCCTTGCAACCCAGTCGAATCGTTTGCATAGTCTCATCAGATCTTTCGACTTTGGTTTCACTGGCTCGTTGGTCCAACATCAGGCGCTGCTCCAGTAATTGCAAGAAGACAGCGCCAATTTGCTGCTCCTTGAGCACACGGCAATGTGAGGCTTCTTTTTGGGGACCCTTTGAAAGGTCTGTCAGCAACCTTGCTAAGACTTGGAAATGGAACATAATGGAACCCTTCAGCTCGAATCCTTAGAGCCTTAGCCAAGAGACAGTCCAAGAGACTTAAGACCTTTTCGGGGGGTCATCCTTGATTGTGATTGTGAGCCCAGTGCCTTGCCGATCCAGAAGTGAAGTTACAGGGTGAAAGCCTTTGTGGCTGAGACTGTGTTCGAGCTCGGCACAATTTGCCAAGTTGGTTGCTTGCGCATGTCAAATGGGCCAGCACACAATTGAGTGACTATACACTGCAACAATGCTCGTGCCAATATTTGAATACTTTAAGTGCCTGGCCTCTTGGAGTAGTGGCGTGTGCGGTAGCCCTCGGGTCTCAAAGATGGTGGCTGAAACAAGCCATGCAGATCCCTGAGCGGTGTGGCACACAGCTGTCCATCAAAGTAACGTGTTGTTCCCAATTGTTCCCTCATAGCAGCTGCTATCAAAGAATTTATATACTTTGAAGCTTACTGCTTGCTGCAAGGAGGGCTTGTCGGCTTGTCCGCGTGTTGTGTGAAAGCGGCCAGCTACATTCAGACAGATTCAATGACAAAGAGGTCACGCAGCGTAAGTCACGCGCTGGCAGCCACGGAGAAAGATATATATATATATACATATATAGAGAGAGAGAGAGAGTGAGTCTGAGTGTGTGCGTGCGTGAGTGCAGAATGTCTGAGTCTGAGTCTGAGTCGGCGCCGGTCCGTTTGCAGGAGGGTATTGACATAGAGACGCAGAAGGCCCGCAGCAAAGCGCACGCAAAGTGCTTTCGCTTTCGTCGGAAGCGTTCGAACGACCGGCTTTCATCAGGGTTGTAGCTGGTATCTCAGGCCTTGAAGAGGATCGAAGAACTGAAAAAGCAATTGGAAAAGTTGAAAGCATCTGGTGAAGAGCTGAAGCGCTTGGACCCGAGTTGACCTTTTAAAGTTCCTTTAAGCTTAATTCCTCAGGATTTTGGTGGCAAGTGTAAACAGTTTGGCCAATTTTGGCCTGAAGTTCACTGCAGCCTCTTCTAGGTGAGCTGGATGAACTGAACGCCAAGTGCCAAAAGTTCGATCTCGAGAAGGCTGAGGCACCGCATGGCGTCGCATGTTTGATTAAATTGGACACGAATAGGACAAAATAGGAGGTAGTTTCAAAACATCTGGCAAATCAAAAGGAACTCTTGAAATCAGCTCAGTTTCAAAGGAACTCTTTTCCTTGAACCCTTGCCATGCATGCCAATGGCTCCTACTGTAAATGGCTTAGAAACAAGAAACATCAAGACACCTTTTGTCGGAAGCATTTGTGCTGTGAGACTGCTGCATTGTGTTGCAGCCCGCCAGGTGGCTGCCCTTCACGCCCGCGCTCGAGAACTGCTCAGCAAACCAGGCGCCGCACTGGCAGAGCATTGCTTTAAAGATCTGTAAAAGTATAGTAGGAGCTAAGGGCATCGCTACTAGGAGCAAGGACGCTACTAGGGGTTCCTGGCCATACTACTAGGAGCAAGAAGCTACTAGGAACAAGTGCATCGCTTCTAGTAACAAGTGCCTTACTAGTAGTAACAAGGACTCAGTATTGGATCGATTGCACTCGCACTAGCGCGCCTTCGAGAGTCCAGCCGAAGCCTCAGCCGTAGGCCGCGTTAACTAACTGCAGAGCACAGCGAATGACGCTTCGACAACGAGACCGACACTTGCTGGATATTGATTCGGCGTCTCACCATGTTCCTTTGGTTTGAGCCCTTTGCTGAAAGCAAAAGCGGCCAATTGAACCGTGTTTGCGCTTTTGCATGACGTGCCCTGAAGATGCAAGGGTCTCACTCTTGCAGAGCCCCTGGAGAAAAGCGTGATGTTTCCGGTACAGCATTGTCGCAGCTAGAGCAGATGCAAAGTTTTTGCTGTGAGAACGGAAGGGGGGTTTTAGTGGAAGCTGTGTACATTAGGACGTTAGGACTTTAACTCCTGTGTCACTGCGCAATGCCCCCACTCCAGCGTTTCAGCCCTTATATTGAACTTTACAGGGTATAATATGCAATATATACATATAATACAGTACATGTAGTACAGTACATAATGTTTCACGTGCTTCAGTTCCTGACAGCTGAAATGGGGCTAATCTGAAGGCGGCCAATTTCAGTCATGGCAGCTCCAGGCACGGGGAGTTTCAGGTGTTTGGAAGTTTACATATACACACACACATATATATATAATAAATATGCAGTCTCAAGCCTGTTGAGCTTTCCAAGTCTGCCAAGTCTGCAAGACGTTTGAGGCTTTCCGTCTTGTATGTTGCGCCGTCACTGCAATGTGCATGGCTGCGTGGACAATTGCCCACGGTTTGTTTCTCTTTTTCCGATTTTTCCGTCCCTTACAGGCAACTGATGATGGCAATGCCTTTCCCAAGGGGTGTGATCAACACACAAAGGCGTGATCGACGGATATAGTACGACATATTACAGTATACATATGTATATATATATAGATATTAGTTATAGTTGCGATAGTTGTTTTTACACTGTCAATGTTCAGTCACAAGGTGTGCTTGACATCATGTGCTCACAAGTGATGTAGATGCCTGAAATGCCATCGATGCAGTGTAAGTAGTATCAAGGCTGAACCAAAAGGGCGCAGTTTTAGTTGTAGTTGGTCAGTATTGGAAATGATAGTGCTTCTTGCTTTGCTTGCGCTTGCGGAAGCTCACAATGGCACTTGCCCCTCAACCAAAAAGTGTGGCAGTGGTGCCGGTACAGAAGCTGGGCTGCCTTGCTGCCAAATAGACTCATCAACCTTTGAGTGTTGCTCATCGTCAGAGGCTTGCATTCCTAAAGTTGGCTGCCGGTGCCAAACTCTCCGACAACATGATGACTACAGCTTTGAGCAATTTTGCAAAGAGTTTGTGAAGTCCTACGCAGATGAAGAAATCGCACACCGACGAGCCGTTTTCCAGGCAAATTTGGAGAAGATCAAGGCACACAATGCAGAATACGAAGCTGGCATTCATTCGTGGCACATGGCAGTGAACCAATTCGCGGACTGGTCTGAAGAAGAATTCAGCGCCATCAGATCAACCCGATACCAGTCTTCCATGCAGGCAGCACACACCGTGGAGTTTGACAGCAAGACCCCCAGACCTGCAAGCATGGATTGGCGGAGCAAGGGTGTTGTGACGCCGGTGAAAAACCAGGGTTGCTCGGCAGTGAATTCACAGCTCCACAGTTTTGTTGCAGCAGCTTGTTCAACATGTAAATGTAGAGCAGGTAAGTTGATGGACGGACCTACTCACCATACCACAACAGAATGGAAACACCAAATATGACCACAACGCATGTAATTGACACTTGACAACACACTGACACACTTTGACAATAGTTTGCAGTTAACTCAATTCCCACGAAAAATGGACGCAAACGGCTTGGCGGCTGGGTCAGTGGAAGTGAAGGTGTTTGACAAAAAGGTTTGCATGACTGCGGACTCTAGTTACTGAATACGTAGCGAGCGAAGAGTGGACGCAAACGGCAAGGCGGCTGGGTCAGTGGAATTGAAGGTGTTTAACAAAAGTTTGTACGGCTGCGCACGTAGTTACTGAATACGTAGCGAGGGAAACCTGTTTTGGGATCTATCATGAGAACGACCATGGAAGCAAACCAAGAAAGTAGACAGCGTGAACAACAGTTGCTTTGCAGGTACACACCAAGGCGTCCCTTGGTGTTTCCCCTGTCACATCCTAGCTTCGTTGGGCCAGGTCGGATGTGACAGGCCTGGCCCCCCTGCATGAAACAACAAAAACTCCTTGGGACGGAGTGTGGCACACACAGAGCGCCGATATCGGCGCGCGAGAGAAAAATACTAACCACCTAAAAAGTCTTAGAAAGAAAGGAAAGAGAAACCGAAGAGGGCAAGGGAGAAAGGTAGGTGTAGTGACGAGGCCCACTAATTACGAAACCTTCTAGCTACTGACTACTTAGCGGTATGAATTGAATGCACTAGTTAGCGAGCGGGACATTAGTCTTAAACCGCCCGGGTAGCTAGGACTAGGACAGGAGAAACAGAAGGAAAGGCACCAACACACAAGTGTGTTGAGTGCGACTTCCTTCTGTTACCCTAGATAGCGGGTGGGATAAAAGGGTGAATTCGCGTGCAAGGTGGGGTTTGTGTATGTGTGGCACATATATATGACCGTAAGCGGGTGAAGCATTCAATCCAGAAAAGATAATCCAACGTATGCAGAGAACGCTGAATCGGTATGTGATTCACGATGGCTTCGGCGCCTCTCTTGCGAGAGGATCGCACTCTGTACCCAGTGGGACGACAGAGCGGCACGTACTTTGACAATGGGTTCGTTGCAGTTAACTCAATTCCCACGAAAATGGACGCAAACGGCTTGGCGGCTGGGTCAGTGGAAGTGAAGGTGTTTAACAAAAAAGGTTTGCATGACTGCGGACTCTAGTTACTGAATACGTAGCAAGCGAAAAATGGACGCAAACGGCAAGGCGGCTGGGTCAGTGGAATTGAAGGTGTTTAACAAATTTGTATGGCTGCGCACGTTAGTTGCTGAATACGTAGCAAGGGAAACCTGTTTTGGGATCTATCATGAGAACGACCATGGAAGCAAACCAAGAAAGTAGACAGCGTGAACTTGCTTTGCAGGTACACACCAAGGCGTCCCTTGGTGTTTCCCCTGTCACATCCTAGCTTCGTTGGGCCAGGTCGGATGTGACAGGCCTGGCCCCCCTGCATGAAACAACAAAAACTCCTTGGGACGGAGTGTGACACACACATAACCAAAACGGACCGTGGCGCAGGGATGACCCCGACCCAGATTTCCTACCAGCGCACCTGGACGGGTGGGATGGCCGAAGTGCTCCTAGTATAGCTTCTTGCTCCTGGTAGTAAATCCAGGAGCTACCAGTAGCGTCCTTGCTCCTAGTAGCGA